AGGGATGGAGGCTTTAGGGGTGGGATGTCTTTCCTGGGTGGATTTAAAAAAACAAAAACAAACAAACAAAAATCAAAAAACGTGAGCTGCTGGTTTTAGTGTCTTTGCTCTTCTGATCTCCCCAGGTCCCTGCCGAAAACTGAGAGCAATTCCTGTCCATCAGGGTTGTAAAGCTAAATTCAGAGCTCCAGGTAGGGGGATTTCATGCAGGTTTGTTGCAGTCTCTTCACAAGGATCTGCTCTACATTTTGTCAGAGCTTTAACACAATTGTGCTTGTTATGGGAAGAGACAGAGCTACACTGTTGAATGCAGTCCCACTGCTAGGTCTGTGATGGCTTTTGGTGCCATAACAAGGCTCTTTGGGTCCCTGAGCTGTTTGCCCTTAATTCCCTTGGGCCACAGCCACCTTCTGTGTCAACTTTACTACTGCACTGCCTATGAGGCTGCTCTGCTTGGGACACAAGCCTTTCCTGTCATCAGTAGTCTTTTGGTCCACCTTTCCCCACCGCTGACTGGCTCAGGCCCACCTCAGAGCAGGGGGCTTGGCAACTAGTTGTCCATGTATTCCTCTTTTTCTTGGCAGGTTGGCTGTTGGTAGCCAGGATAAACTGCAGCAGGTTAACACCCACGCGGTACAGTCTCTGCAGGGTATTTTCTACCCAAAATGGGTTTTTCCTGCGGCGGTGTGGAGCTCACAGCTCAGTCCCAGTGATGTCTTTTACCCATTAGTTGCTGTGCTAATTAAGGGCATGGAGGGATTTGCTTTCCTCGGGGACCCATGTGCTCTATTTTACTCCATCCTCAGCCTTGCAGTTGCTATCTCTGCCTCCTGATTTAATGCCTCTCCATCCTTGACTGCAAAGGGGCTCAGAAACAAGACAGAGATGAACCTCAGCTTTGGCCTCAAAGTGTGAGGACGTGGCAGAGAGGAAACAGTCTCAGAGCTGGTGCCAGGGACTTTGTCCCCTAAAGCACCCCTGTCCCTTGAGGTCCCCCTCACTGACCTGGTGCTGGCCGCCGTGGCTTCTCTGGAGCAGGGGAGCTGGGTGGCTCTGGGATCTCAGCTTCAAGAGGGGTTTCTTCCTGTGCCAGGTGGGAAGAAGGTGGTGCTATCAATCTCATCCTTCCTATGGGAGCTGGGGTGCTGCCCCACAGAGCCCCCCCTCCAGCCTGCTGGGTCTGTTTGGGGTTTTGAACTAGTGAGGGGTGACTTTGCCACCCCTTATCTCCCTGGTGTTGCCAACCACCACCCAGGCCGGGCCATCAACACACCATCCACCCAGATTTTGCAGGTCTCCAAGCTCCTGTTAAGGTGACCATGAGCCAGAAGAGCCAACCCCAGCATTACAAGGGAGAGGGAGGGAGTTGCAGGTATGGGTCCTGCTGGAGGGCCCAGAATAGGTGGTGGGTGAATGTGTGGGGATCTGCCCTCCCCAGGACACCATGTCTTCTTAGGCCTCCTTACCTGGATATGCAGCTTGTTCAGGAGTTCCATGGGCTCGAGGAAGTTGCAGGGGACGATCCCTTTCTGCAGGGGAAGGAGAGGTGAGTGGGGATTGCTTGGCAAGGAGGCAACCCACTACTGGAGGACGCAACTGAACTTGTCCCCACCTTGCCCTGAATCCAGGAGAGTCCCTGAAGCTTGAAGGTTAGTTGCTGCAGGTTGGATGGGTTTCCCTGAACCCTGCAGCCTAAGCCAGGGTGGACTTAAGGGCCTTCAGTCAGACATTCATTGCTGACAGCAAGGTTCTGCCCTGCAAGTCCTCTGCAGAACCTCACAGCGTACACCCTATCATCTGCCCCCCTCCTGCCAAGCACGTTCCTGGTACCTTTCCGTTGAACATCACCGTAGCCCAGTTGTCCTTCTCTTTCTTCAGTACAAAGACAATGTTTCCTGGCAGGACCTGCAGCTCCTCGGCGGTTTCAGGGATGAACTCGTACAAGACGCGGTGCGGCTGCCCTTCGAGGGCCCTGAGGCGGGGAGCAGCAGCCAGGTCAGGAAGGTGGGCAACATCATTGTTTTATTTTGTAGGGGGAACCCAGATCTCTGTCTCCTTGTTTCTATGATCCATTCCCTCTCTCCCCCAAGTTTTGGGTGCTGGCAGGACACTCAGCTGCAATGATGCAGGACAGGCTTGGACCTGGCTGCATGGATTAGCAGCATTGCCTATCATTCATCCAACTCACCTGAGGATTTCTGGGGTCTTGGGCCTGGGTGGAGGACCAGAGGCCTGCCAACAAGAAGACAAAAAGAAAATTATCAGTAATCTGGGACCCTTCAGTTGCCTTGCAGAAATGTCCTGCAGCCTTCTACCATGCCTGCCATCACCCCTGCATGGTTCCTTCCTCCCTCTGCTGGTGTCAGGTCGTAGGGTTTCAACCTAAAGGGAGTTTTTTGTTGCTTTGGAGCCAGCTGCAGTAGGGTTTTGGCACTCTGCCACCTTGATGTGTAAAGCAACCACCTTAAGTGCTGTGAGGAATATCGTTGGCTTCGCTCCTTCAAAGGAGCGGTTTCCAAAGTCTTCCACCTGCAGTTGGTTTTCAGAGGCACAATCCTGTTTTCACTTGTGATTTTCATTTCAGCTTGCAGAGGGTTGAGATCACAGATTTGGCATCAGCTGGTATAAACTAAGTTGTGTTCCCTGTTACGCTTGCGAAATCCCCAGCTGCTGTTGTGCTTTATGGTCTCTCCTGCCTGAGTAGTTTAAGGTCTCTGGTGGATTTAGCAACCCTCTGAAGAAGCTACTTGAAATAGTCCTGACTCCGGCAGGAAGGTGCCAACGCTTGGCTGTATAAGAAGAGTGCCTTTCATCTTGCGTCACGGCGCCGTAGGCTGCAGCAGCTGCACTTCCCTCTAGCCTCTCAAAAAGCTCCTGTAAAAACTCTTCTGTGCCCTTAGAGATGGAAAGATGCCACGACATCATCAGGAAGATGGCAACAAAGACTGAAAGGGCTTCAGGAACTGGGAGGAGGATGGAGAATGAAAGCGAAACTGCTCTTGCTTCTCTGATGGCTTGAGCTGAGAGAGATGAACCCGGTGAATCTTATGGGGAGGGTCTGAGACCCCTCCCTGATGGAAGCCATCACCCCGCAGCAACAGTGGGGGCAGAGGATGTGTTGGCTGGCCATGACTTCCTTTATCAGGGAACTGGTTTGACCTCAGCCACAGATGCGTAGGTGGGTTTGGGCTGTGCTCTCTGATGACAGAGAAAGCAGCTGAGATGTGAGGGCAGTGTCTGCCTCCCACCTGTGGCGGTAATGGGAAGGTCACGGTGGCAATGCTGCTGTTTGCTCCCTGCTGTGAGGTGGAGACCTCACGAGCTGTGGGTTGATACCCATCCCAATGTCCTCCTGAGATTTCACTGAGGATGCTCTTCACTGGTGGTGTCTTACCTGTGGTTGGAGTGGAGCAAATCCTGAAAAATCATCCTTGTCCACCACGGATGCCACCACCTAGAGTCAAAGACAGACAGGTAGTGACTTGGTGCTTGTAGAACTCTCTTAGACATCTGTCCACCCTCCTCCTTTGCTGTTGCCTAAGCCAAGCTCTTCAGGATGCTTCAGGTTCAAGAGCGTCTGTGATTTTAGGCAAAGTGTCTTTGACTACAGGCTCAGTGCTTCAAGGCATCAAAACTCACCTCAGCTGTGGTAAGTTTGTAGTTCTTAGCCCCATCATTACTGCAGTTAGAGCCATTATAACCTAAAAGCTTCCATTTATATTTTAATCAGAAATGTTGAAGGGAGTCTAAGAGTCCAACTCAAGCCCTTAAGCATCATTTAGAAAGTTCATAAACGTTTGTGTGCAAATTTCTGGGGATTCCCTGACTCTCAAGGAGCCCTCGTTCTTGGTCAAGAAGTTCCCTGGTGCCTACACAGCCAAGGGTTCCCATTCCACAGGAGCAGTGCCTCCCAGGAAGGACCTGAGCCCAAGACTGATGTACCAGAGCTCAGATTTTGCACACTCCTGGCAGAAAAGCTGCCTTGCTTATCTGAGCTGAAAAGCCCCTTTCAAACAGAGCAGAGGAAGTTCCCATTCCACAGGAGCAGTGCCTCCCAGGAAGGACCTGAGCCCAAGACTGATGTACCAGAGCTCAGATTTTGCACACTCCTGGCAGAAAAGCTGCCTTGCTTATCTGAGCTGAAAAGCCCCTTTCAAACAGAGCAGAGGAAGAACTGGAGGTTGTTTGTGGGTGTCAGATTTTAAATAGTCTCTTCCCCTCCCCCCAAAATATCTTGGCTTAAGTTGAAGCTCCAGTGGGACCTCGTTGCTGTCTGTCCCTCATGTTCAGAGAAACTGAAAATAGGCCATGCTCTGCGGAAATACACTTTCAGCTCCTCTATTCCTGGAGACTCCCTATTCCCCACAAGATCCCTACGTGCCATCCCTCCCTCCATGCCTGGAGGGGTGGATCCCTGAGGCATGGACCAGCTTCGTATCTTTGGCTGCCCACCAGGCAGCAGATAACAGCCCAGAGGGGTGGTGAGAGGGTGGTCAGCAGCTCTCCTCAACCCACAGGTGTGGCCTGAAGAATTAAGGTATTTCTTTCTTACCGTAGCCTTCCCCAGGTAGTCCTGTCCTCAACCCACAGGCGTGGCCTGCAGAAATAAGGTATTTCTTTCTTACCGTAGCCTTCCCCAGGTAGTCCTTCTTCTCCAGCTGAGCCACTTGCTTTTCATTTGGTCTGAACAGCTTCCCTGTGGGAATGGCCACCAGGTCACAGAGCTTCTGCTTCTGTAGCACAGAGAAATCACAGCTCTCTTTAGAGGTCGAAGCAGGGACTGCTTTACTGTCCCCTTCCTTCTACCTCTGGGGTTAAGGTCTCGCTCTGAAAAGTCAAAACTCTGCCATGACAGCCCTGACATGGTCCATTTAGCCATCCCTGCCTCCCCAGTGACCTAAAGCTCTTCTCACCACCCCTTGCCGCAGTACAACGTGCCCATTTCGGACAGCCCACTGCATCTTTCTTCTGCTCTGCTAAAGCTGTATCTTTGGAGAGGTGGTTTCTGTTGTGGTGATTTTTCTCCCTTCTCCCTGTGGGGCTGCTGTGAGCAAACACGGTGGCTGTAAGACTTGGTCCTCCTTACCAGGATGGCTTCCATCGCCCTGTCAATCTTGTTGTGCTGGGGCTCGCTCTTCACCCTCATGGCCAGTGTCAAGTGCTCCTCAGCTTTCTTCCAGTCCTCTATCGTGGCATACACCAGCCCAATGTTATAGAGTATCTGCCAGAGGGATGGGAGCAAGGAAATGAGCTCTTAGAGCAGCCAGACCTTTTCCAGGAGCGCAGTGAAGGAGAGGACAGCAGGGTGGTAGCACCGCACAGACCACTGCACCATTTTGCTTGCAAGGCACAAAGAGAAGTTGGCTGTCTTCTCCTTAAGTTTCTTAAGATGCTGAACAGTCCTTTGGGATCAAAACTGCCAGTCAAGTCTTTCTCACCTCACAAGCAAAGAGCTTGTGCCGCAGCCCCAGGATCTTGTAGTCGATGAGCTGGTTGCCTCGCAGCTGGGCCAGTGCCTCTTTGAAATCCTTGATGGCCTTTTCATGGCTGTGAGGAGAGGACAAGGGTGTCACCACCTTGGGGGTGGCTTTCTGACTACCTGGTACCCCTTACAGATGCCTCTAAGTCCTTGCTTAAACTTTTTTTTTTATTGACTACCTGGTACCCCTCACAGATGCCTCTAAGTCCGTACTTAAACTTTTTTTTTTAGTTTAATTGGGTCTCTCCTCTCTCCTTGCAGTGTTTTTGGACACCCCAGGAGGAGGAGAGATGCTCCAAGGCTGGTGCTAATCCCAAGACTGCGCTGCCGATGAACAGGAACCTCTGTTTTACCTTGAGGGGTTGCAATTCAGCTCCTGCAGTACCGACCTGCCCAGGACTGTCCTCAGCTGAAGGCTGCCATCTCTGCAAAGGGCAAACCCTAAACTCTAAAGCCCTCCACTCACTTCTGCCTCCGGTAGAACACGGTCCCTCGCTGGAAATAAGCCACCGCCAGGTGCTTGTCACAGCTGATGCTCCGGGTGAACGCCTGCATGAAGGTAGGAGTGGGGTGAAAAGGGGATGAGAAGGGGAGAGCTTTAAAAAAAAGGAGTCCCTAAAGTGGTTATAGCTATCCTGTGTTAGCCAAGGGGCTGGCTCTGGGTGCTATGTCTCTCTGCAGCACTGGGCACGCTCCGGTAGAACACGGTCCCTCGCTGGAAATAAGCCACCGCCAGGTGCTTGTCACAGCTGATGCTCCGGGTGAACGCCTGCATGAAGGTAGGAGTGGGGTGAAAAGGGGATGAGAAGGGGAGAGCTTTAAAAAAAAGGAGTCCCTAAAGTGGTTATAGCTATCCTGTGTTAGCCAAGGGGCTGGCTCTGGGTGCTATGTCTCTCTGCAGCACTCTCATCGGGGTGGGTAAAGCCTGTACCAGGCTCCCAATTTTTTTTTGAGTCAGAACCATCTGCCACCTCTTGCTTGGCAGCTTGCTGCCCCCGTGGTCACCTCTGGGAGAGAAGGAGGGCAAGCAGCAAGCTGTCCACCTCTTTGGCTGCTTGGCCTCTGATTCACTGAGAAAACAGGTTCAGCAGGAACCGCCCGGGAGCGTCACGCTTCATCCCGGCTTTAAAAGGCCCCGAATCCTTCCCTCAGTCAGACCTTGGACCTTAATTCCTCCCGTTGCCACCGAGTCCATCCATCTGGCAGGTTCTGCCCCTGTGGGAGGGAGTAGGGACCGTAGGGCTGTACCTTACCTCCTCCGCCTCGGCCAGCTCCCCCAGGACGAGGTGGAGGCAGCCGATGTTAAAGCAGATTTTGGCAGGGGGGTTCTGGACGGCTGTGAAGGCCTCCAGGGCTGCTCTCCACTCCTTCCTGTCCGCCGCGCACACCCCTTCTTGCCACAGCCGTATGGTCTCCACCAGGGACATGGTGGGGTGGGAGCGGGAGGTCGTGGGTCTCACCCCCTCCTCCTTCTCCTTCCTGGTGGTGCTGCTGCTCGGCCTCTCTTTAGCTCCCTTCTGCCTCCCCCGCTGCCCGTGTCGCAAACCTGGCAGGAAGTGGCCTCACTCGGGCGTCAGTGAAACGCGGCCCCGGGATGGGGAAGTGGGGCAGAGCCTGTCTCTGCTGTGGCAGGTTCCCACCCTGGGCTGCCACGGGTTGCAGGCTGGGTCCTCTCTGGCAGCTGCTCCTCACCCCTTCAGGTTTTGCTTCTCTGGGCTTTCACAGATTTGACAGAGTTGGAAGGGAGGGTTTTGCTTCTCTGGGCTTTCACAGATTCAACAGAGTTGGAAGGGACCTTCTAGAGATCATCCAGTCCAACTCCCCGGCCAAAGCAGGGTTGCCCAGAGCACATCACTCAGGGCTGCATCCAGGTGGGGCTTGAAAATCTACAGAGAGGGGGATTCCACACCCTCCCTGGGCAGCCTGTTCCAGGGCTCTGCCACCCTCACCGTAAAGAAGTTCTTCCTCATATTTGAGTGGAACTTCCCATGTTCCAGCTTGTGCCCGTTGCCCCTTGTCCTGTCACTGGGAACCACTGAAAAGAGTCCAGCTCCATCATCCTTCAACCCACCCTTTAGGAACTTGTAAACATAGATGAGGTCTCCCCTCAGTCCTCTCTTCTCAAGGCTAAAGAGCCTCAGCTCTTTGAGCCTTTTCTCATAAGGGAGGTGCTCTAATCCCTTAATCATCTTGGTTGTCCTACGTTGGACTCTCTCCAGTAGTTCCCTGTCTCTCTTTTCAATGAAAAGCTGTGGATTGTGTTGGCCGGATGGTTGATCAGGTCAAATTTAGAGTTGCAAAGCACTGCAGCCAAGTCCCTTATGCCTTCCAACGTCTGGCCTTCAATGGAGGTAGCTGCTAAACAGTTCCTGCAGGTATCTCCACAGCTGCCAGCAGCTGAACTGGGGCTGTCCTGCCTGTCTGCCCAAGCAGGAAGGCAAAGTACAGCCCAAGGCACAGCCTGGGAAACCTTTCATCCAGACTGTCCCCCACCCATGCAGGGCTACAGGCTTGGGGCAGAGTGGCAGAAAAGGATCTGGAGGTGTTGGTCGACTGTCGGCAGAACATGAGCCAGCAGTGTGCCCAGGTGGCCAAGAAGGCCAACAGCATCCTGGCCTGTATCAGGAACAGCATGGCGAGTAGGACTAGGGCAGTGATCGTCCCCCTGTACTGGGCACTGGTGAGGCCCCATTTCGAGTGCTGTGTCCAGTTTTGGGCCCCTTACCACAAAAAAGACACTGAGGTGCTGGAGCAGGTCCAGAGAAGGGCAACGAAGCTGGTGAGGGGTCTGGAGAGCAAGTCTTATGAGGAGAGGCTGAGGGAGCTGGGGTTGTTCAGCCTGGAGAAAAGGAGGCTGAGGGAAGACCTCTCGCTCTCTACAACTGCCTGAAAGGAGGCTGTAGGGAGGCGGGGGTCGGTCTCTTCTCCCAAGTCACAGGTGGCAGGACAAGAGGAAACGGCCTCAAGTTGCTCCAGGGGAGGTTCAGGCTGGATATTAGGAAAAATTTTTACACTGAAAGGGTCATCAGACATTGGAATGGGCTGCCCAGGGAAGTGGTTGAGGCACCACCCCTGGAGGTGTTCAAAAGACAGGCTGACATGGTGCTGGGGTACATGGTTTAGTGATGGTTTTTATGGCAGAGTTAGCTTGATGGTTGGACTAGATGATCTTGAAGGTCCCTTCCAACCTAGATGGTTCTATGATTCTATGATGCCCCCGTGAGGAGCTCCGCTGCTGGGGGTGTGAGGATCTGCTCATGGATGAGGCTTGGGGGCCAGCAGCCATGCTGTGTTGAGCCCCAGCAGTGGTGGTAGCTCACACTCAGCCCAACATCACTTCTGTCAAGGTGTTTTATGGCCAACAGAGCATAACCTGGCTCTGGAGAGCTGCTGGGAGGAGAGCGGGACACTGAGCATGTGGTAGCCACCAAGGTAGTGATGGCAGGGATCTGAACTGCCAACTCCGAATGTTTGGAGCTGGGTGCTCCACACATGGTTTCTACTAGTTTTGGAAATACTTTGCCTCTGTCTCATCTACCAATGATACGATGCGTATTTTGTAAGAGTTTAAAATATGTCAGCAAGACTTGGCCCTCGTGCGTTTACTCACACTTCCCCAGCAAATTACACAATGCCAACAACTGGAGGGAGACTGTGGGCCTTTCTCATCTACCAATGATACGATGCGTATTTTGTAAGAGTTTAAAATATGTCAGCAAGACTTGGCCCTCGTGCGTTTACTCACACTTCCCCAGCAAATTACACAATGCCAACAACTGGAGGGAGACTGTGGGCCTTTTTGGTTTCTGCTTGGGAAGAAACCTGAGACTGAAGAACAAGGACTTGGTTTTCATTCAACTTTTGACTTCTGCTTGGGAAGAAACCTGAGCCACTGAAGAACAAGGACTTGGTTTTCATTCAAAAGTAGGACCAAGCACATCCTTGAACCTCGGGGTCTCCTTGGTTCTCCAGTTGTAAGTGTGCCCATGGCATCACTTTGCACCCTGCCGACTCCTGTGAGCTTCCTGCAGGAGCAGGAGACTCTCTGACCTCCAGAAAAGCAGAGGGAAATGCAACCAGCTGTCGTGATGCTGGAGGAGAGGGTTGGGAATAACAACATGGTGAGCGTGGAAACACCCCTCTGAGATGCCTTTTCCCATTCCTTTGAGGAATGGGAGACCCTGTCTAGCAGGAAACAGTTAATCTTCTTGTAGGGATAATTTTCTGCTCATTTAATTATCTGAATTGGCACACTGGTAGGGCCAGGTTGATCCCAAAATTGGTCCAAGGGGAGCTACACGATGATGTGAGATCTCCCCTGTGACAAGTGTTGGGTTGTTTTTTTTTCTTGTATTTCACTGAAAGATGGGATCTCAAAGTCTCTTGTTCCCCTTTCTCTTACCCAGCTGATTTAGCAGGAAAACTCATTTCTTCTACAATAACGACCAAGAGGAAGTTAGTAACGGAGGCGGTAACATCTCCCACGGGAGATTCTTGGAATCCAGTACAAATGCAGGTCACCAAGAGATGGGCAAGAAATATGTAGACATGGCCAAAATCAGAAGTGCCCAAAGTGCCTATCAGAAATGCCCCCAATCAGCCTTCCTTGCCATCCCTCTTTGAGTAGGTCCAATCTGCACGTAGAGTATTTTTCATTGAAGGCTTCCTTCTCCTAATAGGAAGGGAAACATGTTTTGCAAAATTGAATTGTTTAGGGATTTTTTAGTTCCTTGCCCATCTTTCTCTGCTCTTGCCTCTCAATCCTTTGTGTAAGGTGGCACAATGGGTTTCTAACACCCCCTCTGCCTGGGTGTGTGTGAACTGCCATTATGAGTGGAGATGATTGAGGTTTGGGGCCGGGAGCTGAGGATGACCTCCACCAGCCCCAGCTGCTGTAAGATGGCCTGCTAGCTTGTGGTGACTCCTTTGGTGAGCTCCTCTCCATCTCGTGGGCTGGTTCCATCCCCGGGCTGCACCGCTGGAGGTCTTGTTAATGCCATGCTGGTGGAATTTGGCTGTGCCAGAAGCACTCGGTGCCCTCCACCATGTGCCTGCCAGGGATACCAAGCTCAGGCTCTGCTTTGCCACCACAGTGGAGGGAGCTTGTGCCTCCTCCTGCAGAGCTGGAGCCGGAGGATTTAAAGCTGCTCTGGACTCGCTCAGCTGGTGGTGGCCCCGGCGCAAGGTGAAAGCAGCATCCAGATGCAGGTCATCGTTTGGTGCGGCTGCAGCTTGCTCCATGTCGTGGTGTCCATATGGCCCATGAAATCAAGGCAGGATTTGGAGGAGAGAGGTAAATTTATTAATTATTTTTTTAAACTAGATTTGCTTTTTACCTTCCTGTCATTCAGTTGGCAGAAGAGATGACTTCTGGCAAATCTTGCGCTACTACCCCTTCCCTCCTGCTTCGTGCAAGTCTTTTCGCACATCCCTGAAGGCAGGTGCAGAAGACATATGTTTTTACGTAAATGTTTCTAAATACATCATAGCCTGGCCCGAGGGGAATCTGGAGAACACTAAGATTGTGCTTGGTGTTGCTTTGGTTTATCTAATGCCACCTAGAGGTAGCTGACCTGTTGACGTCAGCTGTTTGGGGAAATATTTTTCACATATTTGGGATTACAGGTTGGGGTGTTGTTTTTGGTTTTTGTTTTTGTTTTTTTAAATGAGGATTGGTTGGTGTCTTAGCCAAACTTGGACAAATCAAACGAAACAGAGAAGCCAAACACAGTCCCTGGGAGAGCTGTGAGGTCAGAGCCATCACTGCATGTGGCTGAGGCTTCTCCATGTATCGTTGAAATTAACATTTCTGTAGGGCCAGATCTTCCACTTTGCATGGCCTGTTGTTGTGCCTACGCTCTTCTTACTGTGTCCTGAGTGAACGTGGTGCATCGGGAAAGCCCTGGTTTGAGCCACCCAAGGGCACTAGCTCTGCTTCTCCAAAGCAATGACTCGGGTAACGAACAGGGAACGTCCTTCCGATGTGGGAGCACTCAACACCAGGTTTCTATATGCTCAGGCCCTTCAGAAGTTCAAGCCCAGCACGTGTGCGATGTGGGCACAATCACCCCACCCACAGGAAAAGCCCAGGACCATATCTTTGCTTAAACTATTACTAAAACCAAAAATTATATGTTTAATCTCTTGAAGCTGGGGCAGGCAGAGACGAACAAAAGCCCAGCTGTGAAATCAGGAGGGTCACTCCACACAACAACCCTGCGAGGCCATTACCCTTTTCCTTCTTTTGTTCTTAAGAAAGCATCTAACATTAATGGCTGGGATGATCTCACTCTCTGGCTACAATTTTAGCCCAGGCAGAGACATCTCTAGTAGTCCTAGTTTACAACATTTCTTCTTGTTTAAATATCTCACTGAAATAATCTCAGATTTTCTGGTTGGATGAAGCTTCTTGGGCACCGCCGTTACAACAACCAACTGCTAGAAACCATGACACAAGTCTATCAAGAAAAATAGTGGAGGGAAAAAGTTTTACAGCTTGCTTTTTTACTGTTGTCCACCCTGGAACAGCAGCCTGCTGGAATTTCAAGGCATTTCAGACACCGAGTAAATAATTCAGTGACGATTTATTGTCTGGCCTTTATTATTATTACAAAAAAAGCAGATATCAAAAAACAGCAAAGATTTCACAAGTTTCCCCAACAGTTTTACACAACTGAACTGCAGTAAAAGGGTGAATGTAAAACACATGTTATTTCAGTTCTGGCCCTAAACCTTCAAGGGTGATCTGTGGTCTGGGATGTCCTGGGCTTTCCTAATTCTTCACGTTGGAACAGGATTTGTGCACTAGCTAACAGGCTGTGGCACCAACGGGAATGTGAACTGTCTGGGATCATTTAAGATCCTACACTCCTAGGAAACAAAACAGGAGCTCTGCAAGGATGGTGTGGATACCAGTATGGGTGTATCAGGTTACCCCAGGCAGCTGCTACGTTGTGCTTGACAAAATCAAATCACTTTCAAGTTGCTGAAACGTGATTTGTTGTACGAAAGCTGCTTTTTTCGTCTTCTCTTCAGGATCTTTGCTCCCCAGAACAAAGGAGTTCACTGGGCTGGGCACCAGCGTAAATGGACCATCAACCTTTTAAATTCTACCATCCAAACTGCATGATGGACAACTTCATCCCGTTGGGACTTTGCCGCTGCAGCCCCAGCATTGGACTGATCACGGGGAACCAGAAGAGGCCGTGAAGATGTGAGGTTAAGGAAAATGCTCAGCTCTCTGGAATGATAATCGGGGTCGGAAGGGAGCCCTTGCTTTCTGCCCTAATCACGGCTGTAGGTTCAGAGGTTGACCAAAGGAAACATGGTCCAGTTACCTATATTAATAGCTGCCCCACTTCTCAAATACAGATCTTGCATCAGAACACTGCATGGCTAGCGAAAAGAATTAAGACATTGCCCTAAGTCCCTCAGCATTTGCTTGGAAAGTCAGGTCCAAAATCTGCCATAATTACACACAAATGCAAATCATCCTAAACGTGAAGTTGTGGATGTCTCCATACATGTCACTGAAATGTTCACGAGTACCAAATATTCCTGTTAGAAATAAAATTGCACCTTCATCATTTTCCAGAATTTAACAAAAAAAGAGATCACGATATGCGTTATTTGTCAAGGTATGAAAGAAGCAGCGAGAAGGCAAGCTGAGAGACAGGCACTGCCCCCAGGGCAGCAATGGCATTTGGTGGGTTGGGTTTTGCACCAGCATCTCCCATGCCGTGGATGGCAGACGACCGCTCGCTGCTGGATTTAAACCGTTTTCCTGGCAGTCAAAACGCGGACAATGGACCCTACTCCTCCAGCAGCCAGGGCCTGAGAAGAGAAAGACAGCAATTAACAACAGGACAAAGTAGTTACGGGCTGAACTAGGAGAGCCACCAAGCTGGTGAGGGGCCTGGAGAACAAGTCCTATGAGGAAAGGCTGAGGGAACTGGGCATGTTTAATTTGGAGAAGAGGAGGCTGAGGGGAGACCTCATTGCCCTCTACAACTACCTGAAAGGAGGGTGTAGAGAGGCAGGTGTTGGCCTCTTCTCCCAAAGGACGAACGACAAGACCAGAGGAAATGGTCTGAAGTTGGGGCAGGGAGGTTTAGATTAGATATTAGAAAGAATCACTTTCCTGAGAGAGTGGTCAGGCACTGGAACAGCCTGCCCAGGGAGGTGGTGGAGTCACCATCCCTGGAGGTATTTAAGAAACGTATAGACATGGCTCTTCAGGGCATGCTCTAGTGCCCAAGGTTATTGGTTTATGGCGAGGTGTTGAGTGTGGGGTTTAGTTGGTGGGTGCGGTGTTTTTGGTGGGCGTTTGGTGTGGTGTGTTTTGGATTTGTTTGGTGGTTTTTTGTTTTTGTTTGTTTGTTTGTTTGGGGTTTTTTTGTATTTTTTTTTTTTTTGTGGTTGGACTCGGTGATCTCAAGAGGTCCCTTCCAACCACTAAGATTCTGTGATTCTGTGAAACAGCTCCTCCTCAGAAAGGCTTTTTGATTGCATTTCAAATGACGAAACACTGGCACTCAGGGTGCCAGGAAAGGATGATCACATTGGCTTTAAAGACAGCTATCTAATGAGCTTTAATTTCCCTGCATAACCAAGTTGCAAACTTTGCTTCCCTCTAGGAAGACAACTACTTCCATCTGCTTGAATGGATCGAACCATTCTGTTTGCCTCAGTCTAACAGAAAATCGAATTTTAACTGTAGAATCTCTACCCAACGAATCAGAGTAAGCAGGCCCATGATACAACCAGCTGTCAGCTCGCAGGACTGTACCTTCCTCACGGTGTGAAATACACCATTTCAGTCGTACCAGACAGAAAGGTCCTGACTCTTCCCAGGCTCGGCGAGCGTGCCTCGGACCCAAGAACCTGCTACCTCGGATAACCAAGGTAAGAGCATGCCCTATGAACGCACCTTCTCGTGCCACTGCAGCAGCACAGCGCTGCTGTTGTCAGAGGGGCTCTCAAAGCCCTTGTAGATGTACTTCATTAGCAGGTCAACACCGTTCTTGTCCAGCGACTGCACCGCCTTCTCAATATCGTTGGCTTTGAAAGAGATGAGGACCTTCAGGACAATACTTTCTGCACGATCCTGTCAACAAATAAGGAAAGCATTCTCATACAAGGTGTGTTCAAATATTCCTTATTTTTTTTTAAATTAAATTAAGATTTTTTTAAAGAATTCTAGTGTCTGTTTAAATAGGGCCGTTTGTGCACAAATCTTGTGATAATAACATATAACCAACACATCTTCCCAATTCTAAACAGTGTAAAACAGTTTAACGTGTTTGTCCTGCTCTCAGTTTTCTGCCACTCTGCTTGTGTTTGCAATTCTCCGCCTATTAAATGAGCCACCTATGGCTCAGTAATCAATCTTTATTTAAAAACTCAAGGTCAAAGAATTAAGTACTTGTTTGGCCTCCCTTACCACCAGAGCCTTTTCCATGCCTTTGTACAGTTTAATGAGATACAACTATTATGTTCCATGGAAATGCCATTGGCCAGACTGGAGGAAGTGACTGCTGGAAGCCACACATTTTCAAAACAGTCAACCTGTGTCCCAGGCACATAGGCTACAAACTGGCAGCATTAATATTTTGCATTAATAACCATTTGCAAGTTCATCTGGATGTCATTTCATGCCCAGGAATGTGTGGTGTGATTACAGTGGCAGATTAGCCATGTAATCAGCAAAAGGCAGTTCTTCCTGTTCATCCATCACTAACTGAGGGAGGATGAAAGAAAAAGGTCTCGGGCTTGTTGGACTTTTCAATAATGTCATTACACAAATACTTCAAGCAGCCTACTTCTTCAGAAATTATGGATGTTAGCTTTCTTGTTCAGTTAAATATCCCATAGCCGCTTGGCTTACCAAGACTTCTCATATGAAGAGCTATAAATAAAAACATAAAAGTTATATATCAACTAAAAATGAAGCCAAACATTAAAATTCAGTCACTCTGCCCTTTTCAGTTCCACTGCCTTTGCAGTGTGTTCTTAAATCCATCAACACAGAGGTAATGGAAACAAGTTATTAATGCGAGGACAAAGCTGTTCCATCTCTTACACAGCACTATCTGCAACAAACAGCTGGGTCTCAAAACCCTGTGAAACCTGTCAGGAAAAGGTGGGGGCTAGGTAAAAAAATCTCCACTGGTGCCAGAGCAGCAGAGAAAGGCACCCGTGCGACTCTCCTCAAACAGGGAGAACAACCTCTGCAGGCGCTCACCATCTGGGCAGTTCCACATCTTATCTGCCTCTTCCTCTCCCTGCTGCCATCATGAGCTATTCAAGGCTCACTCTGGGGAGAGGCAGAAATGCACACAGGCAGCAGGCTCCTATATTCTGACACAGGGGGAGTGCTTGCGTTTTCTGAGGGTTTAACGGCTCAATTTTGATTGGATGCCATAACCATCACTTCTTCCTTTTTAGTACGTTGACAGTCGGGCTGTGCTAGCAGAGTTTCATTAGTCAGAGGTGACTACTGCAGTTATGGTTCCTTGATCGTTCAGCACCGACTCCATCTATGCTCTGCCAGGTCTGGATCAGACACGGGCACCTGGTGATGTGTGGAGTTAGCCAGGGCACACAACACACAACCAGTGCAGGTAGGGGCACACACAAAAGCCTGAATTAGCACCCTGTTAAAGGCATGTGGAGAGATGACATCCAGGCTATGGTATTTTGAATAAGATTAAAACAACAGAGCAGAGGGATATTTTGACATCAGGGAATACCCTGAAGCCAGATTCCTTGGCTTCCTTACAGCACACCTGGCAGGGTTGATGGGGCAGGGGTTACAGAAAGAGGAAAGGATTTTTAAGGAGTAACCCATGAATGAATTATTTATTATTTCACCTTCACTGCCTGGTTCTTTGTGTTGATAGGAGGGTTCTTCAGAGCTGCCTGTAGCGCAGCCATCATGTTCCCTGTGCCAGACGGTTAAGGACAAGACGCGAAGGATTTGCAAAGCAACAGAACCAGCTCCAGGACAGTGACACTGGCAGCTGGCTTGTGCATGACTGAAGATATGTAAAGTTCAGTGGATGCGCCAATTCCCTCTACAGATAGCACAGATTACACTGTTAAGTGGCAATTTTTAGGCCATTTGAGGAAGGAGCAGCGCCAACAAGAAGCTGTACGGTTCCAGTATTGGACAATACTTCTTAAGCCCTTCACTGAATGAGGATCCGAGTAAAAGAAACCATTCTCCATCGCTTCTGCTATTTGCAGCCCTCCAGAACAGGCCCTCAGCTCAGCATATCCACCCCCGACAGCCACCGGGACAGCAACCCAGCAGCAGCTGGAGGGAAGAGCTGCTCCACAAGCCAGCCAGCCAGGTACGATGGCAGTGGGAGCGGACACACAGAGCACTCCTTTGTGCCACAGGAAAACCCCTTCCTTTCCTCCATTTCCCTTCCCCCCCCCCCTCCCCCGACACTTGAAGCCACCTCAGAGATACCGCAGACACAGGACACACAGCCCAACCTCTGCTGCGAGGGGGAGGAAGCGAGGCCGCCTTCCTCCTGTCAGCCCCCGGGGCCCCCTCCTCCTGTCAGCCCCCGCTCCCCCTCAGCCCCTTTCCGCCCTCCTCTCGGGACAGGGCCCTGTCCGCCCCTCTCCGTCCCTCAGCGAGGGCTCTGGGCACGGATGTTCCCATAAAAGGCAGCCCTGACGGCGGCGGACGCCGCACCCGTCCTCCCCCCCCCCCCCCCCCCCCCCCCCC